CTCCACCTGCCAGGGGTAGTTTTGAAGCCCAGTCGGAGAGTCAGGGGCCTCCTAGCTCTACCGCCTGCACCTTAACCCTTACTCTACTCACGGGACAGGACCTGTGGGCAGAAAGAGCTACAGTGGGATTGTGAGGAGTGACTACTTGTGTACTTTTTAATTAGTGGGGGTGAGGGATAGCACCAGTCTCCAAGGAATCTGGAAGCAAGTCTTTCAGGACCTTGAGGGATCAGCTGCTGTCAAGATAAGGTTCTTTTTAAACATTAAGCCACTAAGGTAGCTACGGGTTCCTGGAGGAAGGTCATGCCCTGTGTGTTTCAGGCATCTGTCAATGGGCTGCAAGCTGCAAAGAGATTTTAATTTAAGCTACATTTCTTTTGCCTTTGTTTTCCACATCACCGATATGTTCCTTTAAACCAAAGACAGGTTCCTTTTTTAATTCAGGGAATTTTCAGCCTTTAACTTTTCAAATACCACCACCTCCTCTATTTTTTTCTGTTGATTTTTTGGGTAATTTTTACCAGACATATTTTGAGATTTCTCATTCTGTCCTTTATGTATCGTAGCCTCTCTTTTCTTTTCTTTTTAAGATTTTATTTATATTTTTGTGTGAGAGAGAGAGCACAAGGAGGGGAAATGGCAGGCAGAGGGAGAAGCAGGCTCCCCACTGAGTAGGGAACCTGATGCGGGACTCGATCCCAGGACCCTGGGATCATGACCTGAGCCAAAGGCAGACACTTAACTGACTGAGCCACCCAGGTGTCCCGCCTCTCTTTTCTATTTTCATCCTATGCTGCAAGGTTTTTTTTTAAGATTTATATTTCAATTCACTAATTTTCTATTTGCCTGGGTCTCATGGGCTATTTTCCCACCTATGACATTAAAAAAAAAGTAATCTCTACACCCAATCTGGGGCTCTAACTCACGACTGGAAGATCAGGAGTGGGCTGCTCTACTGACTGAGCCAGCCCGGTGCCCCTGTAGTACACTTTTAATTTCAGTAATTATACTGTCCCCTTTTTAAGTAGGCTCCACGCCCAGCATGGAGCCCAATGTGGGGCCCAAACTCATGACCCTGAGATCAAGACCTGAGCTGAGATCAAGAGTCTGACGCTCAACTGACTGAGCCACCCAGGTGCCCCTCAATAATTATACCTTTTATTTCTACAGTGTATATATAGTTTCCTTTCAAAAACATGTTCTTCCCATATTACCCGGTACTTGACTTACAGTTTGTACACCTTCTTTTGTCTCTAAATATTTTAAACAGACTTATTTTATAACCTTTTTCAGCTTAACCTATTACCTTTAGTTTTGGGGAGTGCAAATTCTCCTGTTTGATGTTCCTTCTGACTCCCTCTCTTTGTAAGGCCTATACATGTTTCTTGTGAATTTATCTTCAGTGAGTGTATCCAGACTGCCATGTAACCAGGAGTGTCAGTCAGCCTGGGTGGCTTCCACATAGAAATTTATTTTCTCACAGTTCTGGAGGCTAGAAGTCCAAGATCAAGGTGTTGCCAGCAGGTTTGGTTTCTCCTGAGGCCTCTGCCCTTGCCTTGAAGCTGGCCCTTTTTACTTCATCCCCACATGGTCTTTCCTCTGTGTGTGCATCCTGATGCTTCTTCCTCCTCTCAGAGAGACTCCAGTCCTACTGGATCGGGGGTCCATCTTTATGACCTCGTTGAACCTTAATTACCTCTTTAAAGGCCCTGTCTTTAATTATAATCACACAAGGGGCTCGAGCTTCAATGTATGAATTGTGGGGGTTATAATTCAGTTCATCACAGGGGGTAAAGAAATGTCTCTAAGAACAGATTTACAGGGCCTCCTCTGTGTTTCTAGTGACTTCACCCATTTCAGAATTTTTATATTAATTTCTTAGCATGAGGATTGTCTCACCATATTCAAATTGTAAATTCAGACCTCACACCTCTATTCTGATATATTGTGGGTGGCTCTTTTGGTCCGAGGGTCAGAGTAGGTGGCTATCTTCTTGTTTCTTCTCCAGGCACATAGGAAGAGATTTTCTACTCATAAGTTCATGAAAGAAATGAAAATTTGAGATTCCTGACATTATTCATGACCATCTTTTCCCCATGGTTTGGGAACTAAATCTTCTGTCTCAGTGTGTTAAAACCTCAACTCCCAGCTGATAAGACCTTTATTTGGGTATGATACCCCCAGGCCATGCTGCTTCTGCTCTTCATTACCACTCTGGCTTTGGTTTCCTTTATATATTGGACCAGTTTCTGAAATCTTGTAAACTGGGCTACCCATTTAAGTCTGTTATTAGGGGGTTATATATGTTTAGAGAAAGATGGTGGGAGAGGGCAGTGAATCTCTTCCATGCCCACCCAGTCTACTATATCGACCCAAAATCATAATTCTGGAAGGCCCCCATCTTCATTAGTTCCCTTTAATGGCCAATAACAGTCCTTTAATTTCAAAGCTTGTGTTCTCTATTTTACACCATACTACCTTGTTTTCCTAATTGAGAGACATCTTTAAGTCTGAGCTTATAAAAGATTATTGATGGATGAATGGTCACATTCTTCATGATTATAATTTTACATTCTATCTGGTCCTCCTCTCTGAGAAGATCTATCAGGTTCTTCACTACACTTGCCTTCTATGGGAAATGGACACCCCCACCTCGATCAGTGACCTTAAAATTATAAGCCCAACAAAAATAATTGTCACCAGAGGAAAGGATTTTATTCCCTCTGTGACCATAAAAATGTGACTGGTCATGTTTCTGTAAAAAAGGAAGGAATATACACCAAACCCTGTATAATTTCTCTGAGGTGATTTCACAGGTCAGGGGCATCCTGAAAAGTTTTGGCAAAGCATTGCTACAATGGAGACTGCACCATCTCATGCTAACAAAACTCCTCAAACTCACATTTCCTTTCTTTTCTGGGTAGACTCTCGGTGAAGTCTCCAGAGGGCTCTGTACTGATAGCAACAATGAGCTGATCATGATGGAAAAGCCACTCCCAATGGGATTTGCTTAATAGACACTTCACAATAGAGGAAGATATAACAATAATTATAAAAGTGGGAAAAGGGCCAAGAGCTAATGGATTTCTTAGCTCCATTTTCAGCAACCCAGGTAGAATTATGTTTTAAGAAATCTCATTCCATGCGATTTAAAGGTCTGCTGATTTCAACATTTGGGGTCTCCTGCATTTGTTCTAATCAGTTCACTCTGAGCAAAAGAAGAGGAAAAGATGACATTTTCCTCCATGCAAATTACTTAAACTGGAAAAGGTTCATTTAGAAACTAAGAAAGATTCTACTGCTTACAGACTTAGCATAACAAACATCCATTGCATTCATATGGAAAGCTATTGGAAAATTATGGCCTTAGTCATTCTGATTGTAGCCAGAAGTGACAAAAATGCTGTAGGTGAACTTAACTATGAACACAGATTGCTTTTATGAGGTTCTGTGCAATTCTGTTATATTCTTTGCTCAGCTCTTTCCACAAAAGAATTGGGGAGTCGCTGTTGTCCCTGGACTGAATCTCTAAATCTCTGCCATCTTGTCAGAACAACAATAAGGTTAATGACTGCTTTTGATGACTAGGACGGATGGCCAAAGTCCTAGCTCAATCTCAGGGCTCCTGTATCACCTTTCCTTACCCTCTCCAAGTTTATTCACTTGTCTTTAAATAGTCTAACAAAAATATGAGCCAGCTACATTAGCCAAAGAGCTCATGTTGGGGAAAATCCAACCCCAGACAAGATATAATGAAGCAGAATTCACTGAAGTCTGAAAGCACTCAACACCAACAGGTGCACAGGAGCTGTCACAGAGGATTAGCAGCTATGAGGTTGAGGGGACTAGGCACTAATCTGGGATTCTAGAAACTTGGGCTGCCACCAGATAATACCTGTCTCACCCTATACTAGTTAAAATGCTTTTAAGCAGCACAGATACAGAGGCATCTGCAGAATGAGGGCATCCAGCCATCTGTTACCATTCTTGATCCTCTGAATACAACCTTCTTGTGAGCTCCCCTGAAGCTATGCGGTCAGGCAGCCTGCATCAAAGGGGTGGGGCTGGGAGGAAGAAGGGAGCAAAGAAAAATGGTTTCCAGAGTGGTCTGGATACATCTGTGCATATACAATGAGTACTTTGGGCAATTTTATACAAAGCAAGTTAATACTATGCTTCATTTTCCTGAAGAGGGAGGCCAAATATATTATTGGTCTGGATATGTTTTATCTGCCTTTGGCCCTAAGTTTTTTATTCATTTATTCGTCTATCCATTTAGCTATCCAGCCAATATTTATTGAACACTTATTGTATGTCATGCTCCATTCTAGGTGCTGGGGAGGCAGATATTGAAATAAAAGATACTAAAAAAAGTGCTATTAAGAAAAATAAAGCAAGATAAAGGGGGCAGCAAATAACAGGGATTATATTCCCAAATAAAGAGGTGATTTGCATAATAGCTGTTAGAAAAATACTGTTTTGATACTCAAGTGTTCTGTTTTGTTTTATTTTAGATTGACTTACATCATTTATTACAATTTGGTCCTATACAATTCCACAAAGATAATTTATATATCCTTCCAAAGGTAGGCTTACAAATTAAGTTATAATGTACTATTATCTTATTTGAGATCATTAAAACTCAAAGATGAAATGATATTCTGATTTCATGACTAGGACCAAGGTTTGAAAAGCAATATAATCACTGTCCCAACTATATCACTCTAGTTTTTCTCATGTAAGCTAATTAAGACCTTTAAAAAAAATCCAGTATGATTAACATGCAGTATCATAATAGTTTCAGGTGTGGTGTTCAACTTTTGAATCTTTCATTCCAATAATCATTCTATGAAGAGCCAGTTTCTTCTATGATTAAAAAAAAACACACTATTTTCTAGTATAGTGTATTTATACGTAAAGGTGTATGTTATGTTAGCTATTAATTAAACAATTAACTTCGAAGTTGTCACAGGTTTTTTGTTTTTTTTCAGAAATAGACGCCAAGATGGTGTTTGATGTGTATGTTGTTTATTGGAGATCATCTGTGGAAAGGAGGTGAAGGAAGTGGGATTTCTTCATGGGAAAGATCCAGTTACAGTGCAGGCCAACAATAGGAACGCTTTGGAGAGCTCTGGAGCAGAAATGGCCTGTCAGAGTGGTCCCATGTTGGGCTGAAATGGCTGGGCCTTTGTCTCCTACCACAACCAGTCAATGGATATGGGTCCCCCAGGAAGAGCATGTTCTTGGTCAAGTCAGCTCTCTGCCACTGAGGCAAGCTGGTGATTGTCTTTCCTTGAAAGGGTTGCAGGCACTGCAGCTCCATGTCCACCACACAAAGATATCTATATACTTGGAGGCCAACTGGGAGAAATATTCATAACATAATAATAGGCAGAAAGTCACCAAGTCTGGGTAATTTTGAATTAAGTTGCTATAAACATCCATGTGCAGGTTTTTATGTAGAAATAAGTTTTCAGCTCCTTGAGTCAACACCAAGCAGTGTTGTTGCTGAATCATAGGGTAGGGGTCTGTTTAGTTTTGTAAGAAATCCCAAACTGTTTTCCAAAATGGCTGTGTCATTTTGCATTCCCACCGGCACTGAATAAGAGTTCCAGTTGCTCCACATCCTCGCCAGCATTTGGCCTTATCAGTGGCCTGGATCTGAGCCATTCTAATAGGTGAGGGGTAGCTTAAGTAATTTCAAATTAATTTTTCATGAAGCTCTCTGCTCACATATTTGAAAGAAGTCTTAATTATGAGTTTTGAGTAATGAAGAACAGAGGAAATGAAACTGTTTCAATAGAACCCATTTCTGAGTAACACTGCTAGGTCTATCTTTGACCAAAATTCATCAAAGATTCATGTTTCCATGTGGTTCAAAAACTGCTTTTTTGTTATGTTTGACGAGTGATAGTTAAAAACAAAATACTAAACCAAATGATAAGAAAATACCATTTCTTAATTTTGGCAGCAACACACAAATGTTTGTATGCTGCTATTATTTTAAATTCAAGTACTAAAATAATAACTAAAGCAGCTTGCCAAATGACTAATTAATAAAAAGAAGGTGCTTCTGGTATAGATTAGGTAAACGTAGTTTAAAATCCTTCATCTTCAGTGTTTTAAAAAACACCTAAAAATTTGACAGAATTTTTTGGGGGTGCAAGTAGTATCTGAAATATAAAAAAGTATAGCAAGGTATAGTTCTAGTGTGATTGTTGAAGTGTAGGGATGGTGGGTCTGCCCGAAGCAGGAGTGGGATGGGGGAGCTATAGGATCTACACCAACCTGGGTTTTGAAGGAGGAAAAGAATCCTTCATTTTCTTTCTAGGTCAGCACACATGGTAGAGGAGAAAATCCAGGATTTGGGATTCTTGCTCTCCTTTACTGACTTCTACACTGAACATGAAAAAGTTGCTTGTAGAACTTTAAAAGCATCTCTGGTATTCCTTAGGGGGAAAAATTACTCTTTTCTAGATTTTTTTCCCTAAATAGGGCAGATTTGCAAAGATGGAAAGACAAGGAAATGCTAAAAATAACTTTCCCCAACTAGTGGTAGCCAAACGCATATGGGAAGACAGAAATAGTTTTCGATGGCCCAAAGCAAAACTGTGACGCAAGATGAACTCCCCAAGTGCAGGGGGTAATTAGAAACAGCCACGAAAATGTACTCAGGACGCTGTGGGAACAGTTGCTGAATGTGGAGGGAGGTGATGATGGTCTTGCAACTTCTTGGAACCTGTGGACTTTGAGTAACTGAATCTGAAAATATTCATTCCTGTCATTTTTCACAAAGGCACGGATGCTGGGCTCCTTCTTGGAAAGTCAGAAATTCCGGATCTTCTAACAGCAATTCTGCGGAGGGGAGTGTGATCTGCATTGCACATTTTGTGAAGCCCAGTGGCAAATGGCTCTGTGGCTGCTTCTCGGCTGAGGGTTTTGTTTTTGACTCGGGCATGTGGAGTAGAGCCACCTGTGGCCCGTGAGCAGCGATGAGAAGGCAGGAGAGCTTGCCAAGATCAGCATCACTCTGGGCTTTGGCCCAACTGACCAGCCGGTTTCCCTGCCTTGGAAATTCGGGCTGCCGCGCAGCCAGCTGGCTGGGTGCTCCTGCCAGGGCTGCCTCCCCGGGTGGGGAGGGTCAACAGCTAGGACCACAGGGGCCGCTGGACCCGCCATGACGGGCGACAGGGAACCTGGAAGGGCAGCTCCTCCATGTTGCTGCCAATTTCCCTTTGTCGTTGGCCTCCGTGTCCATTAATGATTCCAGATAGTCACATTCTCTTCCCTCTGCCCTCATCTCAGTACAGATATTCAGTCAGTGTATACCTGATGAGAGCAGTGGTTGATAAAATATTATATTTCTTTGTACTGGTCAGCAGTCAGTGCCGGAGCCCCAGACTTACCACCAGGCACCTCTCCAGGGCCCCCCTAGCCCTCCCCAGGGTCTGAGGGGTGAAGGGCTCATGCTTTCAGGAGTACAGCACTGTCTAAAGATTGACCTGCATCTACCCCACGCTGTTGTTCAATGCTGTGAACTGAACCTGTGAACTGAACCTCTTTCTTTTTCTTTCTCCCTCTGACCTTAATTTCCTGCCTTTGACCCCCAATTCTGCTTTTGGCCATTCCCTTATTCTACGATCCCTCAAACAACCTACAGGCCAGTCTCCTTTGTTCCAGAATCCTGCGCTGGTTCTCCTTTCCCATGCTGAAGAACGGCCCACCTTCCTCTGCTTTGGTCCTGGCAGGTGAGATCAATAGCTGGACAGTGCTCACCTCCCCGAAAAGGAATCTGATCAGAGAAGGGGGAGGACTCTGGACACATCAAATAGGCAGCCTGTCACTTACACCACAGCCAGACTTCCCAGGTTTTTGGGAATTGTTTTCTTGGATGCCTCTATTCAGCCGGCTCAAGGGTAGAGCCTCCAGACTGACCTCTTTGCTCCCTGCCTGCTAATCCATTTATCAAAAAAAAAAAAAAAAAAAAAAAAGTAAACCAAGCCTCACTGTTCCCAGATGAGCCTGGTTTCAGACAGTTTTCAGCTCCCCCTTCCCCTCTGTTGCGTCTCAATTATAAGTCCTACTTTGCATTTGTCCCAGGCAACACCCCCATTCACTCTCCTCCCTCCCATGAGAGCATAGTTGTAAGCTGACAACCGGCTAAAGGTTATTCTGATGCCAGGTGTCCTCAGGTCTCTCCTTGGGAAAACTGAACTCAGAACTAACAACCCTGTAGTCATCAAAGGAGCTGCAATTTCACAAGTTACATGGATGGACACACGCCTTTCCCGAGTACCCACCACATAGGAGATTCGGTGTGCACAAAGATGACATGCTGGGGGACAACGTCCTTGTTGGGGTTTGGGTTTCTGGTTTAGAGAAAGAAGAAATACAACCTGCAAGGAGAAGGAGTGAAAAATGACACGAAGGAGTCAGAAAGGAATGGCAGCAGAGGATGGAGACACCACTGTGGCCGGGGGACTCCCAGGGCCTGTGTTGGGAGGAAGGTCCTAGGCCTGGGGAGGAGGCAGCTGGGTTTGAATCTCGGCTTTGCCAAGGTGTGTGCCCCCACCATGCCTCAGTTTCCCCGACTGTGAGATGGGAATAATCATACTACCTCATAGGGCCGTCATGAGAATTATGTGAGACAATGCTCGTCAGGTCCCTAGCACATGGTAAATGGGGAATTAGCAGAAGCTATTGCTGTGTGAGCTTCATGGAGGAGACAGCACCTGGTCTGACCCTAAAGCCAAGGCACATGTGGACATATGCCCCAGGACAGTTCATGGTGCAGTTGGGGACTCAGAGACAAACCAGGCCTGCGTCTTAACTAGCAAAGGGCTTCTAAAGAACTGACAAATCCCATTCTTTTGGGCTGAGAAGATAAGTGATGCCAACCCTTAGTGATACCACATTTTAATAATAGCCACTAAAGAAAGCTGCTAATGAAAAAGACAAAGCACGCAGGCGTACCCTGTAGCAAAGATCATCAACTCAAGGGGCTAAAAGTATTCACAAGTGACATTCTGGAGGAATGACGGATTTTCCCGGAGACGGGTATTTCTCCCCATAATGGCTAGGGGGCGATGGAAGCACGCAAAAGCAGGGAGAATGTTCGCTGTGCTGACAGGCCAGCCCTGGGCCCTGCTCTGCTCACCTATACGGAGCATCCAAACCCCCCCACCGCCAAACACCCCATGGGCTCACGCTCTCACCCCTTCCTGGCTTCTTTCTCCAAATATTTCCTGAAAGACTAATATGTCTCAGGCAGGCATAGGTACCAAGCAGCAGAAATGTATGGAAAACTCTATAGATATAAATACTGAGTCTTAAATGTGGCATTAATTGTTAGGTTGCCATGTTCGAGAAATGCATATCTGTTAAGATGAGGTTTCATTTGAACACTTGAAGCCTCCTTTAAAACTCATACTTGTCTAAACACTGTTCAAAGTTTTGCAGACTACACTCAATTTGAGGAAAAAAGCCCCAACTCAACAGTGAATTCTGGATAAGGTATGGCTTTGCCATCATCGAGTCTGGGTTCAGCTCTGAGCTGCAGCACGATCAGTGGCATGAGCCCAGATGAGTTAATCTCTCCAAGGCGCAGGTTCTATGGCTCTAAAAGGTAATGCATAATTGTACGTTTGCAGTATGTGGCATTCAGTAGGCGTTCAGCAGGTGTTAGTTCCCAAGTCTCTGCTCTCTAGGAGGAAGAGGAAGGAGGGAAGTGTGTCCACATACTCCACGTCCTTGGCTGGGCACGCGGCCACTGCACAAGAAGCATTGTCTATATGGACATACGCAGGGAATATCAGTTAATTCAAATGCCCCCAAACACTTGAAATCATAGGGGAGGAAATTGAGATAGTCTGAAATATGCTTATTACGAGGTGAGGAGAAGAGTTTAGTCCAACAGACATGTCTTGAGCGCTCCATCCATGTGGGGCAGGGGTCAGGGAAGGGGAGATCAAGACAAGACCAGGTGGGAATCTGGCCAAGTGCAGTAGCTTCAGGAGCAATGGTGTGACACCTGGGCAAAGACAGTGAGGAGAGGGGCGGAGAGGGGGAGAGAAAAGCTGCAGTGAGGACGTCTGCCCCCCTGCTTCACATGGCTTTATTAATAGCTGGTGTCAGCTGGTTTCTGGGTAATTGGGTTTGATGGCTCAGCCTGGATTTGATTGACATGTGTGCTGAGAGGGGCTCCTGGGGGAAATCTTGAATTTGATTTAAGCACACTGAATTTTACATGTCATAAAGTATTTTATGAACTGCAAGTGCCCTGGATGACCTCAGAAAATGTTTATTTTGGGGATATGAAGTTTGCTATTAGAACGGGGGTGTGGTGTGCAAGAAGGGTCTTGGGTTCAGGACTCTCACACTTGACCGCGACTCCAGTTTTGCTCCTTATGACTCGTTAGACAAGCACCTGATGACTTCTAAGACAGAGCTTGTTGCAGAGTTCCAGGGTGGTCCCCCAAATTCCTGTCCCTGGGATGCATGTCTTGGATAATCCCCTCCCCCAAATGTGGTGGGACCTTTGAATATGGTGGGATAGTATGTCCATGATTCTCTTACATGGTATGGCAAAGGTGAGGGGAGTTTACTGAAGTAATCGAGGTACCAAGTCAGTTAATGTTGAGTTACTAAAAGGGAGATTATTCTGGGTGGGCCTGACCTAATCAGGCATACTTTTGAAAAGAGGGTCGAGAGGTCAGAGACAGAAGTCAGGAGGATTTTCCTGATGGCCTTGAAGAAGCAGACTGCCATGTTGTGGAGAAGACCACATGCCAGAGGACGACCCCAACGGAAGGTCAGCAAAAAGGTAGGGACCGAGTGCAGCCACCATAGGGAACTTTGGCTATCATTTCAGGGAAAGCCATCTTGGAGGACCACAAGCAGTGGGCTTGATGAGATGAGATCACAGCCCAGCTGACATTTTGACTGCAGCCTTGTGAGGTCCTGAACAGAGGACCCACGAAGCCCTGCTGGAGTCTTCATCCATGGAAGCCTCAAAATTTATGGTAATATTTTCCTCAGCAATAGAAATGAACTCAGAACTCACATTACCTACTTTACAGGGTTGTTGTGGGGATTAGGGAAGAGGTCTGCAGAACACCTGGCATTGTCAGAAATCATTAGTTAATGATAGCTTTTAGTCCTGTAATTGGTAATTATCCCATTGTTTTTTAGGGAACATAAATCTCTCCTTCTTGAATGGATCTGGTGAGGTGCTAAGAAATACTGAGAGGGTTGAATGAAATGATGCGTGTACCACGCTCCTAGGGTAGTGTCTGGTGCAGTACACAGTACGTGATGGCGATGATGATGGCGATAACGACCATCCTGACTCACAGTGATGGTGACTTTTATCCTGGTGAGAATTAGGTATATTTCTCAATAACACACAGATCTCTTCTTCCCCCTTAAAACCACTTTTGACTCACTTCACTTAAGCTAATTAGCTTTTCTGGCAGAAGTACCAGAGACCATTACTGAACCATCCACTGAGTAGACATGAACCTTAGACATAATCTGGTCCGACTTCTTCAGTTTACAAAAACACCTTGAATATGAAGCGGGTTTTTTCAATGCCACAAAGCGAATTAATAGCAGGATCAGGAATAGAATTCAGGTATGTGGATGCCAAGGTCATTCCCACAGAATCAATTTTCTGAAAATTGCCCTTTATTTAAGACACAGTGCCATTTCAACTCACAAATTATCAGCATTCCCTTGTAAAACTCACCCCGCACATAATTTATCAGTTGTGAATGTTCATTTCCAGCTACCTCTCCTGAAGAATTTGTTATTGATCTTGATTCATTGAATTAACATTTATTGAGGGCCTACTATGTGCTATATTTAGAATCAAGCTTGTTAACCTGTAGTCCCCAAGTCACACTAAAATTATACCCCAAGTTCCTTGTAAGCCTGTTTGCCATAACGATCCTCTAAGTGGGTGCTGCTGTGACTACCATTTTATAGGTGAAGACACTGAGAAATAAAGAGGTCCAAGGGGTGGTTGCCAGAGGGAAGGGGGCTGGAGGGCTGGGTGAAATAGACACAGAGGTATGGACTTCCAGTTATACTATGAATAAGTCACGGAGACAAAAAGTACGGCATAGGGAACGTAGTCAATAATATTGTCATATCCTTGTATGCTGACGGATGGTGATTACACTTCCTGAGTAATGAATAGAATCGACGCATTAATATGTTGTGCGCCTGAAACTAATAGAACATTGTATGTTAATTATACTTCAATACAAAAATAGATAATAAAACACCGTGTCTCAAATTAGCGAGAAAAGAAAAAAGAGGTCCAGGGGTTTGCAGGGCCAAACAACTAGTAAGTGATGGAGTTGGGATTTGTACTGGCTGCCACTTTGAACTTCTTTCCACTTTTAACTAGACTGCTTCCCAGAAGCTGGTTTGGCCAAATAATAATAAAATGAGTCAGACAAGTCAAGAACTGCCCCCTCCCGCCTTCATCCCCATCACTGAGGCTCTGCTGGATCTGGGATGATGCTCAGGCACAGATTCTGAGGACTGACAGCACGAAGGCTCCCAGCACGGACAGTGAGGGAGGAGGAAAGGCTGAATGGTTCTCCTGATTTTTTGGTCCCTTCTCAGCAGAATTCTCCTTTTTCCTCAGCAGACGTCTGAGAAACTTGGTCAGACGCTGACAGGGGCCCAGATCCTGACGATGGTACCCCACATTTCTCATTAATGTCCCTGTCTCTCCAGGGCCTGAGTCTGCCACCTACCTGTAAGGAGGGCGACCTGCAGGAGGTGACCAAGCTCTGGCTCCGTGGCTGAGGTAAGCTCATGAGCAGGGACAGGTGCTTCTTCACGCTTCCCATATTTGTAGTGAGAACAGGGGAAGGCCACTGAAGATGGAGGATAATCTTCCAGACAGCACGAAATCTAAAGCCCTGACGTGTTTTTTTTTTAAAGATTTTATTTTATTTATTTGACACAGAGAGAGCACACACACAAGCAGGGGGAGCGGGAGAGGGAGAAGCAGGTTCCCAGGACTCTGGGATCATGACCTGTGCTGAAGGCAGATGCTTAGTTGACTGAGCCACCCAGGTGCCCCTGAAGCCCTGAGGTTTATAAACCTCTCCCTCCCGCCACAGGGCCTGTCCCCATGGTCATTGCCTGCAAACCCTAGGATTATGGATCTCAACATGCAGGAACAGAGAGAGAGCAAGAATGAGGTCAGTTGAGACAGTCTTGTTCTGCTAAGTTGGGGTGGCAAACTGCGTGTTGAGAAATGCAAAGCGATGGAGTGCCCTCTGCCAGAGCACAGCCGCATGAATGTCCCCACAGGCCAGGTCGGGGGAGACAGATCAGGTTGGGGACAAAAAAAAAAAGAGCTCCAACCAAAAAAATGTAGCTCAGGATCAGCACCAGGACAGGATTAATGCCAGAATCCAACAGCAGCTTGATATTTTCATAGTTTTCCATAGGTACTGGGTTTCCCCCCATATATATCGGTTTTAACTATTTAACTATTGACTATTGACAAACGGTGGTTTGTTTTTTCCATTAGTTCTTTTAAAATAATCCCCATGTTGTTTTCCACAAACACCGTGTCTGAAGAGCCTGTGCAGCGCATCACGTTGTTGATATGCCCCCAAGCACTGTAAGTTGAGTGGTACACAGAGTAAGAGGGTCCTGCCACAATCTACAAAACACAAAATTAACTTTAAGATGTTACCATACATATTGTAGCTTCTTGCCTGTATTTTGAAAATAAATGATGCAAGTACTATTCATGAGGTCTATAAACCTTTTTGATGTGATGACAAGTCTTTTCCATTTTATGGACAAGGCAGGGAGGCCTGGTGGGGTTAAGTCACATGCTTGAAAAGATGGGAAACCATTGCCTTACTGGTGGAGTCAAGGGGACTCCCCTGACCCGGTGGGTGGTGTTTGGGCAGCTACCACGCCGCCACCAGTAACCTGAAATTAGGATGAACTTGTACTTCCATCCAATGGTTCCTTAGCAGCTGCCCACCTCCAGGATCGGCTCCCCCCACAGCATCTGATACAGCTGATCCCCTTCCCAGGCCTACTTGTTACCCAGGGAAGTCATGAAAAGCATTGTTTTTAGAGACACGATTAAAATGCACTTATAGGGGTGCCTGGGTGGCTCAGTCAGTGAAGCGTCTGCCTTCAGCTCAGGTCCTGGGATGGATCCTCGCATCGGACTTCTTGCTCAGCGGGGAGCCTGCTTCTCCCTCTCCCTCTGCCTCTGTCTCCCCTGCTACTTGTACTCTGTCTCTCTCTCTCTCAAATAAATCTTAAAAAAATAAAATAAAATGCACTTATAAAATTTGTTATACAAATACATAGAAATATATCTCTATGCGAATGTTCAATTGATTAGTTCCCTACGATATGTGTGAAAAGTAAACAGCTAGGTAAGAAACCACCAACATGTTAGCATTAAGCCTACAGAGCCTGCTCCCGGCAGGGTGTTGTGAGGCGTAAACTGGCCTGACCTAACCACAGGAGTGATTAATCCCGTATTCCTTCTGCTCCCAGGCTGTGGGTTGAGCCTTCCCCCTCTCCAGTGCAAGCGGCTTCTCCTCCTCCCCATAGAGTCCGTGAGACCGAGCAGCCCCTTGATGTTCACTGAGGTCCCCTCAGTCCTGCCCAGTGACTGGAAGTCTCAGTTTTGGGGGGAAACTTGGCATTTCATGAAACAAACCATTGCCGAGCATCTGTCTGGGCAGAGCCACTTGGAAATAAAGTCTGGAAGCCCGCTAACACTCGGGGCCTGTGCCTCTCTCCCTTCCACCAGCTCTCAGTATTCTCTGCTCTTGCCCTCGGGGCTCCTGTGCTCTCTTTTTCCCTCCTCATTTCCCCTTCTCCGTGGCACAGGAGTCAAAGAACGGCGTTCAGTCTCTACGTTTTCCATCTCAAGATTATCTGCCTTCACAACCTTTTCTATTGCTGTGGATCAAAATGTCATTGCTTCTACTTGAAGTAGATCGAGGCTCCGTGGTGCCAGTGGGAGAGAGAATATAAGCTCCATACATCACCCGCTTACTAACTTTCTCTTCCTGTGTGTATCAGTTTCCCCTTACCACGTGCAAAACTCAAGTTTTGCCTTGCCCATGATGACTTTGTGGGCACTCCTGTGTCCCGAGTGTGTGCACAGCACTACCTCATTCCACCGTGGCTGTGCCCCTAGGAGGCGCATATTAGTCCCATTTCATGGGAAAGGCAGGGAGGCCTGGGGAGGTTAAGTCACGTGCTCAGGAGGGCCCCAGGATTGGAAACGGCAGCTGCTGCATCCTGCCCTTCAAATCCCCCTCATGGTCTTTCCTTTTCTCTGTGGTGTCGACAAGTCCTCATTTCTTCTGTAGCTTCCTTCTTCATTGGGTCTATCACATATGGTCTGTCTCCCTGCCTCTTTCCCAGCCCCTGACGAGAGTCCACCAGCCCTATGAAGGCAGGGGCTTTTGTCAGTTACATTCCCTGGGGTATCCCGGTGGCATAGAAGACTACCTGCCTCCCAATGACACAGAATAAACATCTTTTTAAGAAGATTTAATTAATTTATTTATTTGAGAGAGAGAGACAGTGCTTGCATGGGGCGGGGCGGGTAGGGGGACGGGAAGAGGGAGAGGGAGAGGGAATCCCAGCATTCTCTCGATCTCACAACCCTGAGACCATGACCTGAGCCGAAACCAAGAGTCGGATGCTTAACTGAGCCACCCAGGAGCTCTAAATAAACTTTCTTTCTTTCTTTCTTTTTTTTTTTTTAGTGAATGGATAAAAGTAGCTAAAGCTAGAGGTCTAAGGAAGTGTATTACCCCAACTTTAGCACCACCTTATGTATCACCCAAAGCTTTTTTTTTTTTTTTTAATATAGACAATTCATCTCTTTTGTGTCCAGTGAGGAAATAGTGTTTGGAAATTTTCTGTAGATGAAGCAAGCCCTGTGGCTTTCATCTGAACCAACTCCCTGGGCAGCTTTGGGTTTCTCTCTATCCACCTGACAGGGAGGTGGGTTCAATTGTTGGTAGCCACAGAAATCCATATTCATTATAAGAGTTGAACTCTTTGAATACCATTATGGGATGCATTAGTGATACCTCAGGAATCACATCAGTATAATGTCCAAGACACACTTACGGATATTCATGCTTTTTGCCATGAGATTTTTCCATATGGCTACCAGCTTCGCATGTGTTTCTGCTCCCAGACAGTAGCACTTGTAAACACTGACACATCCTTCAACCTCTTCTCCAGCCCTCCCTGCCAAACGCCTTCCAAAAATGAGCCCAACTCTGACTTGACTTTATTTGTGTGCATGTCTTGTGCCATTTTTTCTGTATGCTCCTTAGATGGGAATGTTCTAGGATTTTCGTAGATCTTTTTTTTAATTTAATTTATTTATTTGACACACACACACACACACACACACACAGAGCGCACAACAGGGGGAGTGGCAGGCAGAGGGAGATGCAGACTCCCTGCAGAGCAGGGAGAGCCTGATGCAGGACTCGATCCCAGGACCCCGGGATCATGATCTGAGCCGAAGGCAGTTGTTTAACCAACTGAGCCACCCAGGCGCCCATTCGTAGATCTTTTTAATGTGGGCTTCAATATCTGCTTCAGTTGCTGTCTTACATAATTATTCTTTCTATTCATATAAAGGTTTGTTGGTTTCAAAAGACTCCACAAACATTTTCTTATCCAACCCTCCCCCCGGCCCATGAGGTTAGCAAGACAGGCATAATTATTGGTGATATTTTATAAACGAGTAGTTTGATTCTCATAGAGGCTAAGTGTCCTTTTCGAGGCAACAAGGTAGGAGGAGGCAGAAGTGGGACCAGACCCAAGTCTTCAGAAGACATGCCCCACCCTTTCCCACTGTGCCACCGGGCCTGGACCCCTGTTGGCTATGTTTCAAGTGTGGTGCCATGTATAATTAGGTGCTTAAAACATGTTTTTAAGGCTGGTGTTTTCCGCAGCTGAAGTAATAGTCCATGTGAATAGTGTAAAAATAATTGAGCTAAGAGAACCAAAATATAATCCAAGGCAATCAGAGAGGCTGAAGGGTATCATGTGAGGCACAAGGAATAAATAGCTTGGGTGGAGAGAAGATAAATTCTGTGGGGAAAGACCAGGGACAGACTGAGTGGAAAAGAAAAAAGAAAGCCTTGCACGGGTCTAGTGTTCTTCACTTTCAAATAAATGACCTCCTTTATTCTTCAGACCAGACTCGTAGGTAGATGTTATTTAGAATTTCCATTTAATTGAGGAAGGGATAGCAGACCAGAAAGTTTAGTGCTTTTTTCTCAGTTGGTAGAGGTGGAATTTAAAGCAGATTTTCTGCCTCTAAAGACTGAATTCTTTCAAGTGCAAAGCTTAGATTATTTTTCCTCCAAGATTTTGAAGTCACTCTGGGTCCTTGCATTATATATAAGTTCTTCTGTAGGGACAATGGCTGTCCTCTGGGCTTCTCTGTTTTTATAATCAGCCCGAGAGGGACACAGTGGCCCACGGGACAAATATGAGTTCAAACCCCTGCTCTACCACTCACCAGCTGTGTGAATTTAAGCAAGTTACTTCCCGTCTCTGTGCCTCAGTTTGTGATCTGTAAAATGGGGATAATAATAAATCTGGCACATAGGATTGTTTTGAAGATCAAGGGAGATGTATGTCAAGTACTCAGCACGGAGCCTAGTACCTAGAAAACCCTCATTAAATGTTAGTTGTTGTCATTGTGCTGTATAATAAAAGCACTTGTCTGCTCTTTGTCTCAGGTTCTAAACTCTTGGAATTTCCTGAATGCCAGGAGCCCTTGGACCACACCTGAGTTAACGCTAACCAGGTAACTCAGGATAGGGCCAGTTGTGGTACCAGCCTGACCTCCCCACCTCTGGGGAGGGGAGCTGGAGTTTGAGTTCAGTCATGTGGCCAATGATTTGGTCAATAGTGTCTGCGTAATAAAATCCCAATGAAAACACTGGATACCCAAAGCTGCCCCAAGGTTGATGAGCATACTGAAGTATCGGGAGGGTGACACATCTTGATTCCACAGGGAGAGGGCATGGAAGCAGCTTATTCAGGACCATTCTAAACCTCACCCTATTGATCTCTTCATGTGGCTATTCCTGATTTGTATCTTACTTTTTTTTTTAAAGCTCCTAGTGTGGAGCCCAGAGTGGGACTTGAACTCTGAGACCCTGAGATCAAGACCTGAGCTGAGATCAAGAGTCAGATGTTTAACCAACTGAGCCACCCAGGCACCCCCTGATTTGTATCTTTTATAGTAAAACCATAATCATAAATATAGCACTTTCTGAGTTCTAGGAATCATTCTAGTGAATTATTAAACCTGAGGGGTTCATGGGAACCCCAATTTCATAGCCAACTGGTCAGAAGTACAGGTGACCTGGGGACCCCCAAACTAGCAGCTGGTATCTGAAGTGAGGCACTGTGGATGGAGAGTGTGCCCTTCACCTGTGGAGTCTGTGCTAACCCAGGGGGTGAGTGGCAGAGGTGAACAGCGTGTTGCACACTGTTCTCATTGGATCAGGCATCGTCCATCCCAGAAAAAGAAACACCTCCCGGAAGGCCAGGTTGTAGGTCATGCGGGCAGGAAAAATAGACCATGTTCAGTCAGAAACTCAAGTTTCTCAGCATGTAGGTCTTCTTTGGGCTATGAAAGGGGGTGTCTTTGCAAACATTTCCAGGACTGGAGATGGGAGTCTGGGGCGCGGGGGGGGGGGGTCAAGAGCAATAGACTTAGAATCCTATCCCAATTTGTGAGTAATGCTTACTTATTCAAGGACACATTAATTATTTCTGGAATTATAATAGTGCTGCTACTTCTACTCCTATTCCTACTACTAAACATTCCAGGTAATCTCCAAAGTGGCTTATTGAAAATTGGCTATTTTGAACCACCCTTCTTTTTCCTGGACATTTGGGGCCCTTCTAAGCTCTCTCATCTCCAAAGCAGATTCTTCTGATGGCAATCTCCACGTCCTGGACTCCTTCCAAATACTCCTCGTTGTGCGGATTTTCTGGTCCAGGCTCCATTTAGAGGCCTTGCCCCTGCTCTCCCCATCCACAGATCCCAGTCTGGGGCAGCACAGGGTGACACTGGACGCCTGCCCTTT